GTGCCGTGGCATTACAGCTCACAGCAACCTCCAACTCCTGGGCTCAAGCAAGTCTCCTGCCTCTGCCTCCCAAGTAGCTGGGACCATAGGCGCCCGCCACTACACCTGGCTATTTTTTGGTTGCAGCCGTCGTTGTTTTGGCGGGTCCGGGCTGGGGATTCGAACCTGCCACCTTAGGTGTACGTGGCTGGTGCCTTAGCCAGTTGAGCCACAGGCGCCGAGCCGTCATAATGTATTCTTATCCAACTCTTTCTGGTTCAATGTTATCTTTGAGATTAATCTATCTTTATAAATGCAGCTCCAGTTTATCAACTTAACTGCTGTATCATATACCAGTGTGTGAATAGACCACATTAGGACATACAGGTTGGTTTCCACTCTTTGCTATGAACACACAGGGTTGCAGTCAATGTGTTTGTATTTGGTTCCTGGTGTATGTGTGTGTGACCTTCCTGCACACAGCTATATAGCTCTTCCAGTGGGATTGCTGGATTTCAAAATATGTGCATCTTAAATCTAACTAAATATTGCTAAAATGCTATTCAAACTTGTAACAATTCAGTCCTATCAGGCAGAGGGTGAATTTCTGAGGCTTCACATTCTTGAAAACCATGTCACTTTCAGATGCAAGGATCTGATGATGCACATGTATTCTTCAGACATACATTTACACACACACAGACATACATCTCTTCAGCACACATCAGAGTTCTTAGAGAAAAAGAAAACATTATTAGGCTCAGCACCTGTAGCTCAGCGGCTAGGGCACTGGCCATGTACACTAAGACAGGTTCGAACCTGGCCCAGGCCTGCCAAACAACAATGACAACTACAACAAAATAATAGCCAGGCATTGTGGCAGGTACTTGTAGCCCCAACAACTTGGGAGGCTGAGGCAAGAGAATCACTTGAGCCCAAGAATTTGAGGTTGCTGTGAGCTGTGATACCATAGCACTCTATTGAAGGTGACATAGTGAGACTGTCTCAAAAAAAGGAAAAGAAAACATTATTAAATGAGTAGCATTTACTTTAGAACTTCCCAAAGAGCAATAAGTGGCTACATTAAAAATTCTGACAACTTAGAATTAGTTGATTAGACTACTTTTAAATTGTACAAATAATAGTCATGTTAACAAAAATTATACAAAAAGTACAAAATTATCTATAGTATTACCATGTTAATGTATTCATTTTATTTTTTGTACAATTGATTCTAGTTAACTTGGTAATTACTTGTTGCCTTATCCAGTCGAATTGTTTTTTAAAGTTTTAATAGATTTAGAGGGTACATGTTTAATTCCATTACATGTAGAGGGGAATGATTTTTTTCTTTTTCATTTCAGACGGGTAATATGCCGATGTCGTAACAAGATTTGTGGGAGGCACATCTCACGCATGTGCATGAAAACCCAATCATCACGCTTATGAACTACAAAAGGATCCGAGGAAATGATTTTTAAAACAAATTCACTGGTGGCTCATTTTACATTTTATGTAAATTTTCCAAAAATGTTCCAAATAATTGTTCTAACTATGTCTGAGTTAGACTACAAAAATGAACAGAACAAATTTCCAGCTCAGATTTTATTTTATTTTAGAAATTGTCTCTTACTACATTGCAATTCCCAGGAATATCCCTGATCATACAGAGCATTTATGCTTTTCCATAATTTTTTATTGTAGCATCAATCTAATATACACAACAAAGCATGCTAAAACATAAAATAATCACAGCACAAAATAGTGGTTTACACAATTTACCAATTCCATTCTTTGATAAATGTCCTGGAAAAGGGAAAGAATTAATTTGGTGTGGTGGCAGCCTGATGTGAGGGTTTTACAGAGCAGGCAGTGCTAGATGCAATGTTAGGGTCATACCAGAACTGAATACATGGGCATCGTTTCTAGTTTTCAGAACAAATAGAAGACATTCCTCAGAAACTCTAATTCTAAAATAAATGTTTTACACTCAAGAGTCCAATATGAGATATAGATGTGATGAAAATCATGACAAAGATCTTCTTAAGCAGATATGTTATCAAATTGATGTCTGAACTATGTGGAGCTGTCAAAGACAATTCAGTTAACTTGTCCAGATCAGTTTACCCATTTCTCAGGAGAAATGAAACCATTCCTAATTTCTCAGGTCTCCTCATTGATGTCTTCACTTAGAAAAGTCTTCCCCTTAGATTCGAGGTGGAGAGCAAATTTAGCATGCTATTAGCCAGCTACTCTCACAAAAATATTCCTGCCACTTACCACTCCACCTCTAATAGGTGGTTTATAATTTCTGGTTTGAACCACATGGAATTGTCATGCCAATGGAACGATCCTCTTTTCTGCTGTGATCATCTTTTGTCTTTACCATCTGCAAGACATAAAAATATATATTGCTCTTAATGTCACTGTATTTGTTTCAAGTGTTTGCTCCAGACTGAGGCCTCTTTTTATTTGTCACAAATTAAACAAATACAAGTAGTTTTTGTCATTTTCAATAGTCCAAAATAAAAGTCCAATACAAGGTGGTATGATATTAAGATATAAATAAGCAACATTTAAGTAAAACTATAAATATATACAAGGTGGTATGATATTAAGATATAAATAAGCAACATTTAAGTAGAATTATAAATACACTCCTTCATGCAAAAACATTGGTAGATTCATGGTTTGAAATTCCATGCTTAGCAAATTTAGTGACTGGTATTATGACATTAAATAGGCACTTGAAGAAATACACAATAGACCATGTCAGGGCTCTGCCCAGAATCCCACCAATCTTCTCTTTCTTCTTTTAGCATTAACTTCCAGGCCAATGTGCCTTCCCCTTTTACTTCCCATTCCCTTTCTCCCTTGCTAACCACTGACATCGAGACTTTGCTTTCAGCACCAACATCTACTATTCTTCCAGGGTTGCCATTGGGCTATTGGAGCAACTTTAATCACGCTCATTGTGAGCTCCTGGGGTTTATATCCTCCACAGCACCTCTGACCAGTCAATGACCTAGGAGGAGGTAAGAAAGCGCTGGCTCCATATAGGGGAGGTGGTGGGTTCAAACCCAGCCCCAGCCAATAAAAAACTGAAGAAAAAAAAAAAAAAAAGAAAGCACAACTTCCTTGCCTCCAATGAGGACATCTGGGCAACCTAATTTAGCACCTGAGTCCACCTGAAGGATTAGGTCTAAGCTGCTCTCTTTGGGACTTTGTGTGAGAAACACCCTCATTTGGATTCTACTTCCTCCCTGTCTGGCTTCCTTTATTCCCTTGCTGGATCTCCTGTAAGCACCTCCTTAATGAATCACATGCACACAAATTCTCACTTCGGGGTCAGCTGAGACAGAATCTTAGAGGGGCTTTAGTCCAGTTGTCTTTAGATACCTTTGCTCTTACGCCTACCTTTTTCCAGCTCTGAACTACCCTAATTCATTCCTCAGCGCTGGCAAATACATTGTATCATAAGTTACTAAAACACAGTCAAGTCCCAGCAAGGCACTAAACTTCTCTGAGCCTCAGTTTCTCTGTCTGCATACTAGGGATATTAATCTTGTCTCCCACACAGGGTTTTGGAGGACATTCAATGAGATCATGTGTATGAAATTACCTTATAAATAGTATAGCTCTTTGAATGAGTGACTGTGTTTCAGCCAGCCTCCCTTTCAGTCGCCTACTTGATTTCTCATTTGTGTCCCTTTCTCAATTTCACCTGCCCATTATGTCTTCCAGCCATCCTGTCAGCACTCATTTGGCCTCGCTCCAATTCCCTGGTTGTCACATCACGTTTTTGCGAATAAGTCCTCTTTGTTTTCCTTCATCTGAGAATGTCTTTATTTTGCTTCTATTCCAAAAGGTTATTTTCCCTGAATATAAAGTTCTGTGTTTACAGTTCTCTTCTTTCAGCACTTAAAAAAAAAAAAAAAGTTCCACTGTCCTCTGGCTTCCATGGTTTCTGATGAGAAATCTACAGCCTTTTAAACAGTTGTTTCCTTATATTGTAACACACTTTTTCTTTAGCTGCTTCAACAGTTTTTTCATTTCTTTGTTTTCAGCAGGTGTATGTGTCTGAGTAGGGTTTTTTTGTTTGTTTGTTTGTTTGTTTTTGAGCTTTTAAAATATTTAAATTTAGGTCTTTTATCAATTCGGGGAAGTTTGTAGTCTTTATTTCCTCAATTCTTTTTTTCTGCATGAATCTTTCTCTACTTTCCTAATGGAATTCCAGTGAAACAAATGTTAGACCTTTTGATACTGTTCCAAAAGTCTCCAAGGTGCTATCCATTTTTTCTCAATCTCATTTTTCTCTTCACTTTGTATAATTAATCTTTCTTCAAATTTACTCTTTCCTCTGTCATTGTCACTGTTATTGAGACCGTTCAGTGAATTTTTTATTTCAGACATTGTACTTTTCACTCGTAAAATATCCTTTTCATTCTTTTTTATAGTCTTTTTCTTTTCTGGGAATGTCTATGTTTCCATTCATTCTGAGTTGTTTACCTTTACTTCAGGAAACAGTCTTTGTCTGAAAATTGCAACATTACAACATTAGAGGCAACAGGAGGTTGGCACCTGTTGACTGCCCTTTTCATTGAGAATTGTTTGCATTTCCTGGTTCTCTTTAAGTTGTATAATTTGGGATTATATCCTGAACATTTAAAATATTATATTGTATAGACTCTAATTCCTGTTATAATTCTCTGTAGAATTTTTTTTTTTTTTTTTTGAGACAGAGCCTCAAGCTGTCCCCCTGGGTAGAGTGCCGTGGCATTACAGCTCACAGCAACCTCCAACTCCTGGGCTCAAGCGAGTCTCCTGCCTCCGCCTCCCAAGTAGCTGGGACCACAGGCACCTGCCACAACACCTGGCTATTTTTTGGTTGCAGCCGTCATTGTTGTTTGGCAGGTCCGGGCTGGGGATTCGAACCCGCCACCTTAGGTGTACGTGGCTGGCGCCTTAGCCGGTTGAGCTATAGGCGCCGAGCCTAGAATTTTATTTTCAGTTGTTTGTTTTAGCAGGCAATTTTCCCATTCAGGTTCAGAATGTAAGTGCTGTCTGTCTGTGGGCAGTGGTCACAGTTTAGTTTCTGGAGCTTTTGCTATTCTGTTTGGGGTCCTTTCCATCCATGTATAGCTTAGGGGCGATACTAGGACATATGCAACTCATTGTTATAATTAGAGGGTCCCTTGTCCAGTTCTCTTCTTCCTGAGGTTATTCACACATGCTGGCGCAAAGGGTCTCTATTACCAGTTCCTCTGGCCTCGAAGACAGGGTTTCTCTTTAATTTTAACTATCTAGTCTTCTATTCAACAACCAGCTAATGCCTCACTTCAGAGCAAAACCACAAGGGAAATGAAGGGGAAAGGAAAGATTTCTTTGACACAGAGAAACTCTTCTTCCTAGTTTTCCTGGTGTTTGTATTGAGGATAGCCACCACCTTATCCATTAACACCACACAGTTTCAGTATTTGGGCCTTCCTTCAGCATAAAGATGTGAAAGAGAAAAGAACAGGAAATGGGAAACACATGCATATACATGTTTTTGCTTACTTCTTAGAGTCCTCAGATAGTTGCTTTCTGTATTTCATCCAGAGATTTCAGCTACAATCAGTGGCAGAAACAGGTATTCTGGGATTATTCCATCTTGAAGCTTAAATGGACTTACTCCATTTTGATCAGAACCAGATATTTTATCATATTTATAATTTTCTTACATCCTATCTTTTCCCTCATTTATATTTTTCATATTTTTCCTATTCTCATTCATTTTTTATAATTTTGTTAATTTTGTTTTCTGTATATTGAAGTCTACAATTATGCCCATATTTAAAATTATATATATGTATCTTTAAATTTATTTTTTTAACTGTATCTATATATAAACTTTTTGACATATATATATATGCCCCTATAGATTATCTTATTGTATGTGTATACACACACACCAAAATTTATTTCTCAATTCTTCTGTTGGATGTTTTTGTTCCCAGTTTGGGGCCATTATCAATAATACTGTTGTGAACATTCTAGTACATGACATTTGGTGAATGAGTATATATATATATTTTTTTAACTTGAGATTAATATAAGTGTACAAGCAAGTAGATTAAAATGTTTGTGCTTGTTAGGTAAAGTCCCAGTTGTAGTTGTGTTCTGCACCCAGAAGGTGTGCCATATACCCTTACATTGCACTCATTAGGTGATAGCACACTAATCCTCCTCCCTCATCCTGTCTCCCCACCCCCAAACTTGAATTAAATTGAGTTTTTCTCTTATGTGTGCATGTGTTAGTTCATCTACTGGCTTTGTATTAGTATTGAGTACATTGGATACTTGCTCTTCTGTTCTTGTGATACTTTATTAAAGAGAATGTTCTCCAATTCTATCCAGATTAATACAAAAGATGTAAAGTCTCCATCTTTTTTATGGCTGAAGAGTATTCTATGGTTTATGTATAACACGGTTTATTAATCCATTCATAGGTTGATGGGTACTTGGGTTGTTTCCACCTCTTGGAGATTGTAAGTTGAGCTGTGATAAACTTCCTAGTGCAAATGTCCTTATGATAAAATGATTTTTTTTCTTCTGAGTAGATGCCTAGTAATGGGATAGTGAGATCAAATGTAAGAAAGTGTGACAAAAACTTTTGATGATGTCGTCCTGGGGAAAGATTTTATGAAAAAGACTTCATTGGCACTCACAATAACAATAAAAACAAACAAATGGGACTTAAGCTGAACAGCTTCTGCATAGCTAAAGAACAGTGTAAAAGTGTTTCCTTCTCTTCATATCTGTGCCAGCATCTGCAGCTTTGGGACTTTGTGATGTGGGCCATTCTCACTGGGGTTAGGTATTATCTCAGGGTGGTTTTGATTTACATTTCTCTGTTGATTAAGAATGATAAGCATTTTTTCATGTTTGTTGGCTATTCATCTGTCTTCCTCAGAGAAGGTGCTGTTCATGTCTCTTGCCCAGTGAAGGAATTGTTTGCTCTTGTTTTGTTGATTAATTTGAGTTCTCTATAGATTCTTATTATTAAACCTTTGTCAGATTCGTAACATGCAAATACTTTTTTTAATTGTTGTGTCGTTAGCTGTGCAGAAGCTTTTCAGCTTAATTGCATTCCATTTATTTATTTTTATTATTGTTGTGATTGCCAATGAATTCTTCTTCATACAATCTTTCCCCTGGATGAAATCATCAAGAAGTTTGCCTACTATTTCTTCTAGTATTTTGTTGTTTCATGTCTTAGACTTTAATCTTCTATTCATCTTGAGTCAGTTTTTATAAGTGGCGAAATGTACAGGTCCTGTTTCAGTCTTTTACATGTGATTATTTAGTTCTCCTAGAACCATTTATTAAATAGGGAGAATATGTATATTTCTGTTGAATGTATACAATGGAGTAAAATTGCTGGACCACTGGACATGTGTACTTTCAGTTTTAGTATATAGCTGGGAATATATTTTAGCATAATTGTCCACATGATTCTAGTACACAGCAAGGATTATGAACTGTCACCCTAAGGCCTACAATAGCTTCCTATTCTGCATCTTCGATTTTATTTTTAGCTGCAAGTTCACAACCATTCCCCCACAAGCCTGTGAAACTGTCCTCAGCCTTCCCACAGATTGCACAACCACTGTAGCTTGCCATCTCCAGGACCCACTGGGGCCAGGGCTCAGCTATGGGCCTACATTTCACACCAAGAAAACTCTGATTGCTAAGGGAGAAAGCAGACCACAAGCATTCAAACCCAGGAGGCTCTGGGAGCAGTTCCACCTCATCCCCATTCTGCACAAGGGTTCAGGGATTCTCCTGCTTACTCAGGATCTGCTGTCTTATTCTTGATCTTCTCCCTTCTTAATTCCCTGAGTCCACACTAAGCATAGTTCTATTACTTGTAGTTTTTGCCTTTCTGGAGTTTTATCTCCCTTTCATTTTGTATACCCTCTTGTAGTCCTAGGCCCCTCTTTTATCTGTGTCTTTTCATATCTATCTGTCCCAGTGAATTCTAATTGTTACTCTTCCACAAAAGGAATATCCAAACAAACAAAGGTACTTTAGAGGATTCAACTCTATGGTACTCAAGGTTACCTTTTCTTTCTTGTTGTTTATCATTCAGTGGAACCATAATTTCTTCTGAATGTGCCTCTTCCTTGTCATTCATCATCAGTTCCTCAGTTGAAAAAAGCGTGTATAACTTCTGGATCAAATCAGTAACGGTCCCAGAACCATCACCATGATTGTTTCCTAATACTAATAAATATTGTTCCTGGGAATCAGTTTCATCAAATAGCTCACTGTTTTTTGTTTCTATTTTATACACCTCAGGAATAAGCCTATAGTAATGGAGAAGAGAGATGAAAAATTAGCCAATTCCTTTGCAAGTTTAAATGTAAATACAGACAGATAATATAAGAGCAATCCATTTTATGCATGTGACTAGAATAGTCCAAATGCAATTTGTGCATAAAATCGGACTCAAGGGCAATTTTCTGATTTCTCAAGGGAAATTAGACATTTATTTATCAGCAGTTTAGGATTCCAAAGCAATATTATTATCATCACCAAATTATTATTGAATACTTAGGATTGTACTTTGCAAACTCAAACTTGAAAGAATCCTTCCTGCTAGTGTTCATACATTTTCTAAGTGGCAAATGTTTTGTTTTGCTTATATTTTTCTTCTGCTCTAGAACTGCCACATGTAATCTTTGATATTGTTAAGTTTTCTATTTTGGCAGTGCCCAATAGTAGAGTCATGTTATGTAGCTACTAAGAATAGGCTTTTCTTTTATGGTAAAAGCAACAGACAAAGAAATATGACCTTTCCAACATAGGTCATCTGTAATTAACTCCATACCTATGCTGTCATCACAAAAAGCATTTAAAACACACACAAGTTTGTATTTTGAAAACTAAAATGTCATCAATTTCAAATTATTTATTAAGGACTATTCTAGTTGTAGTATATTGTCTAAATTTCTCAACTCACGATACAGTGTTTTCTGTGCCAGTGTTCCCTGGGCTGGGTGAGGTGATGTTAACACATGTAGCTCTCAGATCTTTGGTAGGATATTTGTTGATAGCACCTGGAGAAAAGCAGGCTGGTTAGTCTGAATTTTATCCTTCCACAATATGTCCATCATCCAAAGTCACTTTATTTTTTCCTGTGCTTGACACTGTTTTTAAGAACAAATTAATTTTCTAAGGGATTCAGCTAAGTAGGCACACTGTGGCATTGAAATTCTTTGTTATTAGTAAAGTCAATGAAATATAGCAGTAATTGAGTAAACAATTCCCTTGGGGCTCTGCATGCCCCAAGCTCATGATATAATTCAAGGATGTCTCTAAATTCTTCCTATCATTTGTTTCTCTCCCGGTGATCTTTCTATAAGACTCTATAAGCTATCAAAATTGTCTGCCTTATTTATCCTTAGGGTATGGAGAAAGGCAAATTTTTTGCTTGCTAGTAAATGTAACTCCTAAATTCTAAGATTCCTGAGGAGTATATAAGCCCTGGGGCTTTTTGCATGCTGGAAAACCTGCACCCCTATGATTCTCTAGTAAACTTGCAGGACCTACAGAGAACCATCCAGGGTGGCCTTTGCTATATTCCTACTTTCCAGCACAGGCCAGGACTTGTTTTGTGCTACCAGGTCTCGGTGCCATTATACCCATGTTTAAAAGTACAGCACATGAGCAAAGGCTAGGGCAGCCACTTCCAAAGCCCCTGTGTGTAAAGACACCCTTAAAAGTTCCTATGTGGCTGTTCTAGGGCCAGTTGTCTGGAATAGACATTGTAGAAGAGATTTGTGCCTTTTGCTTATAAGAATTCAAGTCAGAACCGAGGTTAATTTATAATGACAAGGCAAAATAGAAGTCCTTGGAGCAGGGAGAGGGTTGTGTCAGGGGATATTATTTATTACAGCAGTGCATCTTGTTAAGAGTTCAGTAATTGAAGTATGATTTAATGGACAAACGCACACCTCTGGGGTCAGAATATGGTTGAGTCTAGAATTTACCAATTATGACTTGTGAGCTTTTGAACAATTTATTTAACATTTCTGAACCTTGAGACTTTTCATTTGTAAAATGGTAATATAAATATTTTCCTGTGAGGGCTACATTGACTATTAAATAAAGCCACCTATTTAAAGAACATGGCACATTGTAAACACTCAGAGATTAGTGTTTCTATCTTTTCCCGTATTTAAAGATTTCCTGACAAATACTTTGGCAGTGTAGCAGCAAGAGTCAAGAACAAAAAGATCTAGGATTTTTCTGAGATTTTTCACTGTCTCGTACTTGCACTCCCTCACTTCTAACTAAAGTGAGGATCATTTTTACTATGTCTGCTGTTGGATTGTACAAAGAGACATCAAATCTATTACAAAAGCAATAGAAAGGTTTTGATGACTTACGTCTGATTAAGTGAACAAATGGCTTGACAAACTTGATGATATAATCCCAATCTGGTTTGTGGATGCGGCCAAGCTGGACTAAATGATGATCCAGGGGGTGGCTAGCTAATGCTTCTAATTCCTTGTCATTTTGTGTAGGACCAAAGGAAAACACAAATATGGAGTAGCCTTGACATTTAGCTCTCAGAGATACATTTCTTAAGACTTCCTTGTCTAAAGGGCTTGTTTCACCAGCAGTTATTACAAAGATAACTTTGTTTTTTCTCAGATTGGGGGTTCCTACAAAGACATTGTCAATTGTCCACTGCAAGGCATGGCCAATAAAAACATCTCCATTGAGTTGTTGAAAAGAGTCTTGGAGATGATGTTTCATTTGGTATACACTGTTGTAGGTAACCAAATCAAATTCCAGGTAGACAGGGCATTTTTCAGTGTTGGGCATATAGCCTGGGGGAGAGTAGCTCAGGACAGCAACTCTGTCTCCCAAGGTGGAGGTCAGTGGATCTGGAGCTATATGAAAGTAATCAAGCACTGAGGTTACAAAAGCTTTTACTTCCTTAAACTCATCACTTCCTACTCTTTGGGAAGCATCTATGAGGAAAGCCACATCTATGTAATATTCTTGAAGAGAGGCATTTCTAGGTTCATCAGTAAGCCCTGGTTCTTCTTTTCTGCCATGATTTTCATGTCCTGCAACAGAATAAGTCAAGTCACTCCTTTCAATAGAAGATTAACTTAGAACTCTTAATATACCATGTATAGTATTCGTTTGTATACCCATAACATACATCATTAATCTGTCACAGTGCTTGTTCCCAAATTCATTCTCCAAATATGTCTCCACAAAATGCATGGAGAGGCATTACCTTCTGATATGTGTTGCTACATGAGAAGAAATCTATTTGCTACCCTATCTCAGATCTTTGTGAAAGGATTTATTTATACTCAAGATATTTTAACATGCAAGATGAGGAATAAACAGCTATTCTTAGCACATACATAGTTACAAAATTTGGAGTACACATTCACATGATATTTAATGATATGTAATGATCCCAAGAGAAAGTATTAATGTTGAAGTTACATTTATTGGTGGCAAAACAAATATACCTTTATACACATGTCTAAAATATGCACCATAGAATGATGTCATGAGAGTAAGTATAAGCAAGGGAGGTCTTTAGAATACAAATGCTGTGAAAGGACATACTCTAACTTGGTACTCAGAGTACCAGTCTACAAACACTTCATCAGTCCATGACAAGATAAGAATAGTGTCCAGTGATATAAGCCTACTGAATAGTCCAGCTGATTTTTTTTTTTTTTTTGCAATTTTTGGCTGGGGCTGGGTTTGACCCCGCCACCTCTGGCATATGGGGCCAGAGCCTTACTCCTTTGAGCCACAGGCACCGCCCTGATGTTTTTCTTTTTATAGCAAGACTTTCTTAACGAAGGAAACAGTGCCTTGATTCACATTCCAAAGTAAGTTTCTTCTCTTCTTGCAGACCAGTACTTTAAGTAGCACTGCCCTAACCCTAAGAGATCATGAAACCCATCCACAATCATGAGGGTGACTGATGAGGCCACAACAGTCATTGCCAGCTTAGAGAGACAGGAAGTAAATGTTCTGTTCTTTGTGAAAGAAGTTTGTTTGTGAAACTAATCAAGCAAAAAAGTAGATTTATAACTGGAACAAATTTATTGAACAAGCCCTTCTGCTCAACCTCTTCTGCTCAACCCTTTATTAAATACTTTAAATTTATTTATTTATCATAACAAATAAATTGATTAAACGGTCTTAATGCTATAAAAGCTTAAAATACAATGCAAAAAACTCCAAGTTCCAACACCATAGGCGATGTTTTACTTGGGGCATCTCTCTATTAGAGTATTGGGGCAAACTCTCTATTAGAGTATTTCTTAGGAATGAAATCTGCAATGCTGTGTAAACCTCATATTATGTTTTTAATCTATTATTGACTTGATTTACTAAAATTTGCTTAAAAATTTTGCTTCTATGTTCCCTAGGAGTGTTGGTCTCTAGTTTCTCTTTTATACACAAAGGACATTACAATATCTTTGTCTGGTTTGGGAATCAGAGTAATCAAGTCTCAAAAAAATGAGTTGGAATTTTCTCTTTCTGCTCTTTAATCTTATTATTCTGGTCCTGTACCGAAAGGACTCATCACAACCCTAGTCCAGAGGCACAGGAACTTAAAGAGCAAGAGGAAGTGAAAGGAAAATTGGGCAAGGAAGCAGATAAATCACTCATGAAGAATAACCAGCAGAAAAATCCTGGCAACATAAAAAACCAGTCCAGAGCAACCCCCTCAAAGGACCATGAGGTAGCTACTGCAGAGGATTCCACCTATAAAGAAATGTTAGAAATGACAGAAGGAATTTAGAATATAGATGATGAAAACAATGAAGGAAATAATGGAAACAATTAAGGAAACTGCTGATAACGTGGAAAATAACCAAAAGGAAATACAAAAACAGAACCAAATAAGAGATGAACGATACGAAGAATATAGAAAGAATATAACAGAGCTGAAGGAACTGAAGCAGTCAATTAAAGAACTTAAAGATGCAATAGAAAGTATCAACAACAGATTAGACTATGCAAAAGAAAGAATCTCAGAGGGAGAGGACAAAGATATTGAGATAGTTCATATAGTTAAAGAGGCAGAAAAGAAGAGAGAGAAAGCAGAATGTTCACTGACAGAATTATGGGACTTAATGAAGTATTCAAACATACGAGTTATAGGTATCATAGAAGGGGAAGAAGAATGCCCCAGGGGATAGAAACCATACTTGAGAATATTATAAATGAAAATTTCCCAAATACCACCAAAGATTCTGACACACTCCTTTCAGAGAGATATTGGACCCCAGGTCGCCTGAACTCTAACTGAGTTTCTCCAAGACACATTGTAATGAATCTGTCCAAAGTCAAGACAAAAGAAAAGATTCTTCAAGCTGCCAGGAGTAAGCACCAGTTGACCTACTGGGGCAAATCCATCAGGGTGACTGCAGACTTCTCTAATGAAACTTTCCAAGCCAGAAGAAAATGGTCATCTGTCTTTAGTCTACTTAAACAGAACAATTTCCAGGCCAGAATTCTATATGCTGCTAAGCTAAGCTTTAAAATTGAAAGAGAAATCAAATCATTTACTGATATACAAACACTGAGGAAATTCGCCACAGCAAGACCAGCTATACAGGTAATACTTCAGCACGTTCTACACACTGACCATCACAATGGATCAACAGCAAAGGAAGAACTCAGAAATTAAAGGATAGAACCTAACTTCCACAATGATGCAAAAGATAAAACTAAGCAATGGACTCTCACAAAATAAGATGAATAGAACATTATCACACTTATCAACTATCTCAATAAATGTCAATGGCTTGAATTCCCCACTGAAGAGGCATAGATTGGTTGACTAAATTAAAAAACACAAGCCATCCATTTGCTGTCTGCAGGAAACACACCTAGCTTCAAAAGACAAATTAAAACTCCAAGTTAAGGGTTCAAAGACAATTTTTCAGGCAAACGGAATTCAGAAGAAAAGAGGGGTTGCAATCTTATTTTCAGATACATGTGGATTTAAAGCAACTAAAGTCAAAACAGACAAAGATGGTCACTTAATATTGGTCAAGGGAAAAATAACAACAAGAAGACATTTCAATTCTAAATATTTATGCACCCAATTTAAATGCTCCCAGATTCTTGAAACAGACATTAATCAGTCTGAGCAATATGATATCCTATAATACCATAATAACAGGGGACGTTAATATTTCTCTTACAGAGCTGGACAGATCCTCTAAACAGAGATTAAACAAAGATATCAGGGACTTAAATGAGACCCTAGAGCAACTGTGCTTGATAGACACATATAGAGCACTCTATCCCAAAGAGAAAGAATATATACATTCTTCTCGTCACCCCATGGAACATTCTCCAAAATTGATCATATCCTAGGACACAAAACAAACCTCAACAGAATCAAAAGAATTGAAATTTTACCTTTTATCTTCTCAGATCAAAAGGCAGTAAAGGTGGAACTCAACTCCAACAAAAATGTTCAACCCTACACAAAGGCATGGAATTAAACAACGTTCTGTTGAGTGACAGTTGGGTGAAGGAAGAAATAAAAAGAGGAATTCATTAACTTCCTTGAGCATATACCAACAGCAGCCAAGCTGAAAAAGCAGTCAAGGACTCTATCCCATTCACAGTAGTGCCAAAGAAGATGAAATATTTAGGAGTCTACCTAACAAAG